TGTGTCTCCCTATGTCTCTCTCTCTGTCTCCCTCTGTCTCTGTCTCCCTCTGTCTCTGTGTCTCCCTCTGTCTCCCTGTCTCCCTCTGTCTCTCTGTCTCTGTGTCTCCCTCTGTCTCCCTCTATGTCTCTCCCTCTGTCTATGTCTCCCTCTGTCTCTGTGTCTCCCTCTGTCTCTGTGTCTCCCTATGTCTCTCTCTCTGTCTCCCTCTGTCTCTCCCTCTGTCTCTCTCTATGTCTCTCCCTCTGTCTCTGTGTCTCCCTCTGTCTCTCTCTATGTCTCTCCCTCTGTCTCTGTGTCTCCCTCTGTCTCCCTCTATGTCTCTCCCTCTGTCTCTGTGTCTCCCTCTGTCTCCCTCTGTCTCCCTCTGTCTCTGTGTCTCCCTCTGTCTCTGTGTCTCCCTCTGTCTCCTTCTGTCTCCCTCTATGTATCTCCCTGTCTCTATGTCTCTCCCTGTCTCTGTGTCTCCCTCTGTCTCTGTCTCCCTCTGTCTCTCTGTCTCCCTCTGTCTCTGTGTCTCCCTCTGTCTCCCTGTCTCCCTCTGTCTCTGTGTCTCCCTCTGTCTCCCTCTATGTCTCTCCCTCTGTCTATGTCTCCCTCTGTCTCTCTGTCTCCCTCTGTCTCTGTGTCTCCCTCTGTCTCTGTGTCTCCCTATGTCTCTCTCTCTGTCTCCCTCTGTCTCTGTGTCTCCCTCTGTCTCCCTCTGTGTCTCTCCCTCTGTCTATGTCTCCCTCTGTCTCTCTGTCTCCCTCTGTCTCTGTGTCTCCCTCTGTCTCTGTGTCTCCCTATGTCTCTCTCTCTGTGTCTCCCTCTGTCTCTGTGTCTCCCTCTGTCTCCCTCTGTGTCTCTTCCTCTGTCTCTGTGTCTCCCTCTGTCTCTCTCTCTGTCTCCCTCTATGTCTCTTTGTCTCCCTCTGTCTCCCTCTGTCTCTGCGTCTCCCTCTGTCTCCGTGTCCCCGCGTCTCCCTCCGCGTCACCCTTTGTCTCCCCCACCCCACCCCCACCCCCTCCCCCCCCCTGCTACCCCCCCCCTCCTCCCCCGGTCACTCACCGCGTCGTCGCTCCCTCCACCACCCCACACAGAACCCGCAGCCTCCTCCACCTCCTCCTCCTCCACCGCCTCCTCCTCCTCCTCCGCCTCCATCATCGCCGCCGCCTCCTCCTCCATTATCTCTCTGTCAGGGAAACCCAGGCCGCGGTGACGTCACCGTCGGGATGACGTCACCGCGGCCCCGGACGCATGACGATTGCACGGCCGTTGGTGACGTCACGCGCGCGCGCGAGGACTTTCCCGCGCGCGTGCGGGCATGGGCGGGCATGGGGTGACATGACGACACGCACGGTTGACAATAAGAAGTTCGACTAACCCCGCCTTAAATAAATATCCAGACGACACGTTCTACTGAATTAAATATACTTTTTTTAATATAAATATTTAAAAAAATCACAGTTATAATTACTTTTAATATTTTATAATTGTAATAGAATTTAAGGATAATATTGTGAACATCCGAGTGTGCATCGCCACTTTAAACACCGCGCTAAGATGACAACAATAGTTTAAAGAGATTTGAATCGTGTTTTGGGGGGGGGGGGGGTTTGTTTGGGGGCCGGGGCGGCAGAGATTTGTGACGTCATATTTGAGGGAGGGGGTGGGGTCTGACTTTTTGTGACATCGTGTGACGATGGGGGGGGAGGTGGTCAAAAATCGCGTGACGTCATTTATGTGGGGGGGGGCGAGTGGTGAGGGAGTGGGGGGGGGGAGTGGTGGGGGGAGTGGGGGGGGAGTGGGGGGGGGAGTGGGGGGGAGTGGTGGGGGGAGTGGTGGGGGGAGTGGGGGGGGAGTAGTGGGGGGAGTGGGGGGAGTGGTGGGGGGAGTGTTGGGGGGAGTGGGGGGGTAGTGGTGGGGGGAGTGGAGGGGGAGTGGAGGGGGAGTGGGGGGGGGAGCGGTGGGGGGAGTGGAGGGGGCTGAGTGGTGGGGGGAGTGGTGGGGGGAGTGGGGGGGGAGTCGGGGGGGGAGCGGTGGGGGGAGTGGTGGGGGAGTGGTGGGGGGAGTGGGAGGCTGAGTGGGGGGCTGAGTGGGGGGCTGAGTGGGGGGCTGAGTGGGAGTGGAGGGGGAGTGGGGGGAGTGGAGGGGAGTGGAGGGGGAGTGGTGGGGGGAGTGGGGGGGGGGGTGGTGGGGGGAGGGGTGGGGGGAGTGGGGGGGAGTGGTGGGGGGAGTGGGGGGAGTGGTGGGGGGAGTGGTGGGGGGAGTGGGGGGGTAGTGGTGGGGGGAGTGGAGGGGGAGTGGGGGGGGGAGCGGTGGGGGGAGTGGAGGGGGCTGAGTGGTGGGGGGAGTGGGGGGAGTGGTGGGGGGAGTGGGGGGGGAGTCGGGGGGGGAGCGGTGGGGGGAGTGGTGGGGGAGTGGTGGGGGGAGTGGGAGGCTGAGTGGGGGGCTGAGTGGGGGGCTGAGTGGGGGCTGAGTGGGAGTGGAGGGGGAGTGGGGGGGAGTGGGAGGGGAGTGGAGGGGGAGTGGTGGGGGGAGTGGGGGGGGGGTGGTGGGGGGAGGGGTGGGGGGAGTGGGGGGGGAGTGGTGGGGGGAGTGGGGGGGGAGTGGTGGGGGGAGTGGGGGGGGAGTGGTGGGGGAGTGGGGGGGGAGTGGGGGGGGGAGTGGGGGGAGTGGAGGGGGAGTGGTGGGGGGAGTGGAGGGGGAGCAGGGGGTGGAGCGGTGGGGGGAGTGGGGGGCTGAGTGGGCGGCTGAGTGGGGGGCTGAGTGGGAGTGGAGGGGGAGTGGGGGGGGAGTGGGAGGGGAGTGGAGGGGGAGTGAGGGGAGTGGGGGGGGAGTGGGGGGGGCGTGACGCTCCACCTGCCCGGCTGGGGCGCAACTTCGGCCCCACTCACAAAAACGCGGCGTGACGTCATCTCGGCGTTGGCGCGCGTGACGTGCCGAGTGACGATGACGTCATCGTACGGTTCGACGTCGCGCGGCCCTGGCAGAGGAGAGGGAGACGGAGGGAAGACAGCAGAAGGTGAGACACGGAGAGACACAGACAGAGACACAGAGACACAGAGACACTCACAGAGACACTCACAGAGACACAGAGAGAGACACAGACACAGAGACACTCACAGAGACACAGAGACACTCACAGAGACACAGAGACACTCACAGAGACACAGAGAGAGACAGAGATACACAGAGAGAGACACAGAGAGAGAGACACACAGAGACACACAGAGACAGAGACACACAGAGACAGAGACACAGAGAGACAGAGACACTCACAGAGACACAGACAGAGACAGAAAGACACAGAGACACAGACAGAGACACAGACACAGAGACACAGAGACACAGAGAGACAGAGACACAGAGAGACAGAGACACAGAGAGACAGAGACACAGAGAGACAGAGACACAGAGACAGAGACACAGACAGAGAGACAGAGACACAGAGACAGAGAGACACAGAGACACAGAGAGACAGAGACACAGAGAGACAGAGACACTCACAGAGACACAGACAGAGACAGAGAGACACAGACAGAGAGACACAGAGACACAGAGAGACACAGAGAGACACAGAGACAGAGACACAGAGACACAGAGACAGAGACACAGAGACAGAGACACAGAGACACAGACAGAGACACAGAGACACTCACAGAGACACAGAGACACTCACAGAGACACACTCACAGAGACACAGAGCCACTCACAGAGAGACACAGACACACTCACAGAGACACTCACAGAGACACAGACAGAGACACAGAGACAGAGAAACATACACAGAGAAACACAGTCAGAGAGACACAGACAGAGACACAGAGACAGAGAGACAGAGAAACAGAGAGACAGAGACACAGACAGAGAGACAGAAACAGAGACACAGAGAGAGACACAGAGAGACAGAGACACAGAGACAGAGACACAGATAGAGACAGAGACACAGAGACAGAGACACAGACAGAGAGACACAGAGACAGAGACACAGACAGAGACACAGAGACACAGACAGAGAGAGAGACACAGAGAGACAGACAGAGACACAGACAGTGAGACAGAGACACAGACAGAGAGACAGACACAGACAGAGACACAGAGACAAAGACACAGACAGAGAGACAGAGACAGACACAAACATAGACACAGAGAGACAGAGACACAGAGACAGATAGACAAACAGAGACAGACAGACAGAGACAGAGACACAGAGAGAGAGACAGAGACACAGAGACACAAACAGAGAAATAGAGACACAAACAGAGACACAGAGAGACAGAGACACAGACACAGAGACACAGAGACACAGACAGAGAGACAGACACATAGAGACAAAGACAGAGAGACAGAGACGCAGACAGAGAGACAGAGACACAGATAGAGACATAGACAGAGACAGACACGAACACAGACACAGAGAGACAGAGACACAGAGACAGATAGACAGACAGAGACAGAGACACAGACAGAGACACAGACACAGAGAGAGAGACAGAGACACAGAGACACAAACAGAGAGATAGAGACACAGAGACACAGAGAGACAGAGACACAGACACAGAGAGACAGAGATACAGAGACACAGACAGAGACAGAGAGACAGACACAAACAGAGACAGAGAGACAGACACAGACAGAGACACAGGCAGAGAGACAGAGACACAGACAGACAGAGACAGAGACACAGAGACAGACAGAGACAGAGACACAGATAGAGACAGAGAGACAGAGACACAAATAGAGACAGAAACAGATATAGACAGAGAGACAGAGACACAAACAGAGACACAGACAGAGAGACAGAGACACAAACAGAGAGACAGAGACACAGAGACAGGGAGACAGAGACACAAACAGAGACACAGAGAGACAGAGACACAGACAGAGAGACAGAGACAGACACAAACAGAGACAGAGAGACAGAGACACAGACAGAGACACAGAGACACTCACAGAGACACAGACAGAGACACTCACAGAGACACACACAGAGACACAGAGACACTCACAGAGACACACTCACAGAGACACAGAGACACTCACAGAGAGACACAGACACACTCACAGAGACACTCACAGAGACACACTCACAGAGACACAGACAGAGACACAGAGACAGAGAAACATACACAGAGAAACACAGTCAGAGAGACACAGACAGAGACACAGAGACACTGAGAGACAGAGACACAGAGAGACAGAGACACTGAGAGACAGAGACACAGAGAGACAGAGACACACTCACAGAGATACAGAGACAGAGACACAGAGACACTCACAGAGACACACTCACAGAGACACAGACAGAGACACAGAGACAGAGAAACACAGTCAGAGAGACACAGACAGAGACACAGAGACACTGAGAGACAGAGACACAGAGAGACAGAGACACTGAGAGACAGAGACACTGAGAGACAGAGACACAGAGACACAGAGAGACAGAGACACACTCACAGAGATACAGAGACAGAGACACTCACAGAGACACTCACAGAGACACAGAGACACTCACAGACACACAGAGACACAGACACACTCACAGAGATACAGAGACAGAGACACTCAGAAACACTCATAGAGACACAGACAGAGACACATAGACACTCACTGAGACACAGAGACACTCACAGAGACACAGAGACACTCACAGAGACACAGAGACACTCACAGAGACACAGAGACACTCACAGAGACACAGAGACACAGACACACTCACAGAGATACAGAGACAGAGAGACAGAGACACTCAGAAACACTCACAGAGACACAGACAGAGACACAGAGACACTCACTGAGACACAGAGACACTCACAGAGACACAGAGACACTCACAGAGACACAGAGACACTCACAGAGACAGAGAGACACAGAGAGACAGAGAGACACAGACTCAGAGACACAGAGAGACAGAGACACTCACAGAGACACAGACAGAGACACTCACAGAGACACAGAGATACTCACAGAGAGACACTCACAGAGACGCAGAGACACTCACAGAGACACATAGACACTCACAGAGACACAGAGACAGAGAGACATACACAGAGAAACACAGACAGAGAGACAGAGACACAGAGACAAAGACACAGAGACAGAGACAGAGAAACAGACAGAGACACAGACAGAGACACAGAGACAGAGAAACAGATAGAGACACAGACAGAGACACAGAGACAGAGACACAGAAACAGAGACACAGAGACACTCACAGAGACACAGACAGAGACATAGAGACACTCACAGAGACACTCACAGAGACACAGACACTCACAGAGAGATACTCACAGAGACATACTCACAGAGACACATAGACACTCACAGAGACACAGAGACAGAGAGACATACACAGAGAAACACAGAGAGACAGAGACACAGAGACAGAGACACAGAGACAGAGACACAGAGAGACAGAGACACAGAGACACTCACAGAGACACAGACAGAGACACAGAGACACTCACAGAGAAACAGAGACACTCACAGAGACACAGAGACACTAACAGAGACACAGAGACACCCACAGAGACACAGAGACACTCACAGATAGACAGAGACACAGAGACACTCACAGAGACACAGAGACACTCACAGAGAGACACTCACAGAGACACAGAGACACTCACAGAGAGACACAGAGCCACTCACAGAGACACAGAGACACTCACAGAGACACTCACAGAGAGATACTCACAGAGACACTCACAGAGACACAGACACACTCACAGAGATACAGAGACAGAGAAACAGAGACACTCAGAAACACTCACAGAGACACAGAGACACTCACTGAGACACAGAGACACTCACAGAGACACAGAGACACTCACAGAGACACAGAGACACAGACACACTCACAGAGATACAGAGAGACAGAGACACTCATAAACACTCACAGAGACACAGACAGAGACACAGAGACACTTACTGAGACACAGAGACACTCACAGAGACACAGAGACACTCACAGAGACACAGACACACTCACAGAGATACAGAGACAGAGAGACAGAGGCACTCAGAAACACTCACAGAGACACAGACAGAGACACAGAGACACAATATTTTCCTATTTAAGCTTCTGTTCATCCCCCCGCCCCCCCCTCTCTGCCTCGCTGTCCGTCCTTCCTCCCTCCTTACCTCTTTGTGGACTTGTATATGTATTTCTACTGACCGTGTATTTTTCATTCCATCTATGCTGGTATGTGCGATCCAAAAGTTGAACACAAAATTTAACACTCTTCTGAAATTCGTGGTCCGCCAGGAAGTGTCTAACTGTGTTGTTGGCCTGACTGGATGTGCTTCACATAATGTTTTTTTTCAGGTTTGTTGAATTCTCGCCTCTCATCTTTTTGTTGTATTTACCTCCGTGATTTGTTCTTGACACCTGATGAAGATCGCTCGCGTTGTGATCGAAACGTCGTGATTGTTGTTTTGTTTTAACATAATTTTATTGTATTTCTACATGCGTGACTTTACCGAAAAAAACAATGGGTAGTCACAGACACACTCACAGATACACTAACAGAGACACAGAGACACAGAGAGAGACACAGAGACACAGACAGAGCCACTCACAGAGAGACAGAGCCTCTCACAGAGTCACAGACAGAGACACAGAGACACTCACAGAGACACACACAGAGACACTCACAGAGAGACAGAGACACAGAGACACTCACAGAGACGCAGAGACACTCACAGAGAGACACAGACACACTCACAGAGAGACACTCACAGAGAGACACAGACACTCACAGAGAGACACTCACAGAGAGACACAGACACACTCACAGAGAGACACTCACAGAGACACTCACAGAGAGACACAGAAAGACAGAGCCTCTCACAGAGACACAGACAGAGACACAGAGACACTCACAGAGACACTCACAGAGACACACACAGAGACACTCACAGAGACAGAGACACTCACAGAGAGACACAGACACACTCACAGACACTCGCAGAGAGACACTCACAGGGAGACAGAGACACTCACAGAGAGACACAGAGACACTCACAGAGACACTCAGAGACGCAGAGACACTCACAGAGAGACACAGAGACACTCACAGAGAGACACAGACACACTCACAGAGATACTCACAGAGAGACAGAGACACTCACAGAGAGAAACAGAGACACTCACAGAGAGACACTCACAGAGAGACACTCACAGAGACGCAGAGACACTCACAGAGACACAGAGACACAGAGAGACACAGACACAGAGACACTCACAGAGAGACACTCACAGAGACGCAGAGACACTCACAGAGAGACAGAGACACTCACAGAGGGAGACAGAGACACTCAGAGAGAGACACAGAGACACTCACAGAGAGACACTTACAGAAAGACACTCAGAGAGACAGAGCCTCTCACAGAGACACAGACAGAGACACAGAGACACTCACAGAGACACACACAGAGACACTCACAGAGACAGAGACACAGAGACACTCACAGAGAGATACAGACACACTCACAGAGATACTCACAGAGAGACAGAGACACTCACAGAGAGACACTCACAGAGACGCAGAGACACTCACAGAGAGACAGAGACACTCACAGAGAGACACAGAGACACTCACAGAGACACTCACAGAGAGACACTCACAGAGATGCAGAGACACTCACAGAGACGCAGAGACACTCACAGAGAGACCATCACAGAGAGACAGAGACACTCACAGAGGGAGACAGAGACACTCAGAGAGAGACACCCCCACCACCCCTACCACCACCACCACCACCGGGGCTATAGCTGTAATCACACCCACGGCTGCCAAATTTGAATCGCTGAACCTCCGCAAACGGCAGTCCACTGCTGGGCCACCACTGGGCCACTATTGTGTCACCACTGGGCCACGACTGGGTCACCACTGGGTCACCACTGGGCCACCACTGGGTCACGACTGGGCCACCACTGGGCCATGACTGGGCCACAACTGGGTCACCACTGGGTCGCCACTGGGCCACCACTGGGCCACTATTGGGTCACCACTGGGTCACCACTGGGCCACTATTGGGTCACCACTGGGTCACCACTGGGTCACCACTGGGTTCACGACTGGGCCACGACTGGGCCACCACTGGGCCACTATTGGGTCACCACTGGCCCACCACTGGGCCACTATTGGGCCACCACTGGGTCACCACTGGGCCACCACTGGGTCACCACTGCGCCACTAATGGGCCACCACTGGGCCACCACTGGGTCACCACTGGGCCACTATTGGGTCACCACTGGACCACCACCGGGCCACCACTGGCCCCCCACTGGGCCACCACTGGCCCCCCACTGGGCCACCACTGGGCCACGACTGGGCCACGACTGGGTCACCACTGGGTCACCACTGGGTCACCACTGGGCCACTATTGGGTCACTATTGAGCCTCGACTGGGTCACTACTGGGTCACTACTGGGTCACTACTGGGCCACCACTGGGCCACCACTGGGCCACCATTCGGCCACCACTGGGCCACCACTGGGCCACTATTGGGCCACCACTGGGCCACCATTGGGACCCCACAGGGTCACCACTGGACCACCACTGGGCCACGACTGGACCACCACAGCGCCACCACTGGGCCACAATTGGGCCACGACTGGACCACCACTGGCCCCCACAGGGCCACCATTGGCCCCCAAGCGCTGTTCTCCCCCCACCCCCCACATGAAACCAGAATGCTGGTTGTTATTTTGCCTCTGCGATCCTACCACACCCCATCCCAAATAAAGCAAGGTACGAGTCGTAGCTCGAGCAGCGGCCTAATCCTCGTCCTTCTGGTCATCTCACTCAACCCGCAGCTCCCGGCAACAACGCGGTATTCAATTTCGGCCCAAAACTAAATATCTTTTAGACATTTTTTTATCGCGGATTTAGCTCCACGGGGCTTGACTCCTGGCGAGAAGCAGCGGAAATAAAGAACAGGCCTCACTCCTTCTGGCAATTAAGCGGGTGTTGTTAAGACGCTCAAACACCAAATTATATAGACTAGATTCGAAGCCTTCGCGGCTGCAGGAATTACTCTTCGCCTCTTTTGGTAAAGTCACGTTGAAAGAAATCAAATTAAATAACAGAATACGGCGAATCTCGGATCGCAACACGAGCAACCACCGCCAGGCACAAATGAAAAAAGAAAAAAACAGAGAACACCACGTGACTTTACCAAAAGAAACAAACGCCGAATATTTACGTTTTGCAAGAATCAAGTTAATGCATTAACCACGCGCACGTGACTTGTGGTGAACATGCAAGCAAACACGCTCCGATAATGAACACATTCTCCTGCGGAGGGATGCTGGTTGGAACGTCGGGTTGCTCGCAGGTCAATGGCCTGGGTCAACAGCGGCACCACCACGTGGTGTGTTCCGTACAATGTGCCCGACTGTGAGGGCGGGCACAAGCCTGGAGTGAGTTGGTGAAACGTTGAGTTTTATAAGGGGGGGGCACCACGGGGTGACCAGCCCCTACACACCCAGCCCCACCCCTCCCACCCTCCCCACCCAGCCCCTCCCCCCCTCCCCTCTCCACCCAGCCCCTCCCCACCCTCCCCTCCCTTCCCACCCAGTCCCTCCCCCCCTCCCCTCTCCACCCAGCCCCACCCCTCCCATTTTCGGATGCATGATGGACGGACGGACACAATAATCCCCCCTGTAGGCTGGTGTAGTAACCAGGAGGTTCCTACCAGTATAATGTTACACGCATTGTATTTGAAACTCCACCAGGGACAGCAGCCTTATTTATGGTGTCATCTTACTACCGGCGTCAGATCAGAGAAGAATGCCAAATGGCGAACGGTACAAGGGCAATGCACGCATCAGCAACCTCAGCTCAGGGTGAGCAGCGGCTATATCATGGGATACAGAGACACAGAGACACTCACAGAGAGACACTCACAGAGACACAGAGACACTCACAGAGAGACACAGACACAATATTTTCCTATGTTTTCTCGCCCGGTATCAGATTAGTGAAAAAACAAGAACGGCTTTTACCCTTTCTGGAAATACAACGGGAGGCGTTAGGACGTTCAGACACCAAATAGATGGAATCTTTCGCAAGGAATCTTCTGCATTGACCAGGCACAGCGCTCGTGGTGAACATACAAACAAACCTTTCCCTGATATACGTCTTTGAGACTCATTGGCCGACACCAGAGTCAGCAATAGCCTGCTTTGTTTTCGTTGACCTGCGGAACACAAATGTGCAGCACCAGTTTAACCGTTTAATTTTGTTTCACTGTTACCTCCCCAAACCTTCGGCGGCTGCTGCTTAGCAATGACAGCATTCCACCGAGCTCAGAAGACCCGGAAAAAAACGGCTTAGAACACACACAAAAAAAACTAGCCTCACCCTGATCTCTCCTGTCGCCAGCTGTGCCGAGATTGTAGGGCGGCGGGGACGGGGGGGGGGGGGGGGTGGAGTGGAGGATGATGATGGAATCGGTGACAACGGCGGAGGAAGAGGCCGCGGCGGCAGCGGGGCGGCCCGTCTCTTGCCCCGTGTGCGGCCTGCATGTGACGAGCCCCCTGGCGCTGCAGTCCCACGCCAAGCAGCACGGGCGCCCGCCCACGGCCACGGCCACCCCGGCCGCCACCCCCGCGCCAGCGAGGCCGCTGCTGTGCTGCGACCAGTGCGCCTACAGCACAGACAAGCGCAGCCGCCTCAACAGCCATCGGCGCATCCACACGGGCGAGAAGCCGTACGTGTGCGTCGCGTGCGGCAAGGCCTTCACGCAGTCGGGCAACCTGCACAACCACCAGAGGACGCACACGGGCGAGAAGCCCTACAAGTGCGACGTCTGCGGCAAGGCCTTCGCGGTCTCGGGGGCCCTCAACAACCACCAGAGGACGCACACGGGCGAGAAGCCGTACAAGTGCGTCGCGTGCGGCAAGGCGTTCACGCAGTCGGGCGCCCTCCACAGCCACCAGAGGACCCACACGGGCGAGAAGCCCTACAAGTGCGCGCTGTGCGGCAAGGCCTTCACCCAGTCGGGCGCCCTGCGGAGCCACCGTAGAGTCCACGTGGGCGAGAAGCCGCACCGGTGCAGCGTCTGCGGCAAGGCGGTGACGCAGTCGGAGCACAAGCATTAGTGCCGCCCCGACCGAGCCGCCGTGAAGGAGAGGCCGCCGGTGTTCGACGGACACGGCGTGCGGTTGGTTTCATAGTTGGGCGGAGGGGGCGGGACGGGGGATTGGCAGCAGTGGAGCGAGTTGTAGGGGGAGGTTTGTTTGTTTGTTAGTTCGTTCGTTTGTTAGTTTGTTTCAACGCACGCGTGCGATGCGCACACGTGCGTGTGACCCTGGTTGTTGCAATAGCGGTGAGCGCGCTGCGCTATGAACCCGGCCAACCCGAGTTCAACTGCCGCCGCCGGTCCTGGGCCTCCTCCCCTAGGTCGACTGGGCCTCAAATGAGTACCTGGTGGGGGTGTATAGACATCGCCACTGGGGGAGACAAAGGCGGCCGGGCGTGGTGTTGGCCATCCACACCCCTCATGTGCCGTGCTGACCTTCGTAGGTGCTCGCCAACGGCAGTTTCCCCAACGGTCTGTGAAGGCTATACCGGGGGATCTTTTGTGGCTAGGAGATGTTAGCTGCCTCGCCCGGTACGCAGGGTGCCGTGGGTTCGTTTCCAACCCTGACGATACCTTTTGTGCATCTGGCGTTTGCACGTCTCATCTCCCCGTGGCCACGTGGATCTCCCCCGGGTCCTCCAGTCTTTTTTTTCCCCTCCACATTTAGGGAATCGACGTTTGCGCGTTTCCGAGAGCATTCGGCTGGCGACGCAAAAATTCCCACGCGATGATGGATCATGGGCCAGCCGCCACCTCGTTGGGCTATCATTTGTGATAGCCAGGGTCGCTTCTGCAAGAGAGCTACTGCATCGCTCAGCAGTGAGGCCTTGCGCCTGGTTTAGGGCTACGAGTGAGGCCCCTCCTACCCCAGCAACTCACTCGGGGAAGGCCTGCGGACTTCATCCCCGTTTCGTCAGCACCCCCAACACCCCCCCCCCACCACCCCGACGTCCCCCCCGACAACGGGCGGAAAACACCCGGGGGGACGATTGCTGTGCCGGTTGCCGAAGCCGCGTTGTGTTCCGGTCTCCCGTTTTTATTTTCTCCCATGGCCGCGTGGATCGGCTGAGATGATTGGACGACGTGACAGAGCGGCGGTCGGACGGGATAATGGCAACCTTTCGATTTAAAGCTTTCGTGACTGCACGGATTAATATTTCTTGGTTCTTACCGAAAGAACCATGAGATATGATGGCAACCGTTCATTTCGAGAGCGCTCTCTTTCTGAAGGGGTGGGGGGTGGTGGAATGGGTGGTGGGGGGGGGGAAGATTCGCGTCTCTGCAGCAGCGAGCAGAGAGACGCCACCGCACTCTTAACAATCTTATCTCTTCAAACGCGATTTTTTTTCATTCTTGAGCTCATAATTAATAACGCGTTGCGCTGGAGAATGTCATCTTCCTCGCCTGGTGTGCAGGAGGTCGTGGGTTCGATCCCGACCCCGACGCCTACTGCTGCTGCTTGCTGCTGTATATTTGGAGTTTGCGGTGTCTCTCTCTCTCTCACCGTGGTTGGTCGTGTGGATTTTTTTCTCCGTGTCCTCGGGGTTTTTCCTTCCACGTTTAGAATCGGTGTGATGCCATCGCAGTATTTGACTGCTGCTATGCAGTTCCCCGTGATAAGCCGGCAACAGTCGAGCTTTGTGATTTGTGATAGCCAGGTCGCTTCTGAGGAAGGACGACAGGGGGACCCCCCCCCGCCCCGCACCGACGACCGAATCGATTGCTGCATGACAGTCGTAGGTCGAGCCATCCCTTGTTTTCCCATAGGGCACAACGTTATACACTGGGGTTCCTTCACTGGAAAGCCATTGCACACCCTTTGGCTCTATTGGGTAAAGTCACGTAGGTGAAAATAAAATAACAAAAAATCACGACGTTTCGGCCACAACACAAGCAGCCTTCATCAGGTGAAGGGACGAGACTGTCTGGAGGACAGCGCTGGAGTGGAAGAAGCCACGCTTAGATCACGACATTTAAGCTCGTCCCTTCACCTGATGAAGGCCGCTTGTGTTGTGGCAGAAAAGTCGTGATTTTTTGTTATTTTATTTTCACCTACGTGACTTTACCCAATAGAACCAAAGAGTATGGATCCTAGCAGTCACGAAAGCTTTAAATCTACCATTGCACACCGTAAAAATACCAAAGGTGACCACGAAAAATTGAATGAAAATATCCCTAACAAAACATTAATCGTCACGGAAATCCTCGAGTACTTTTCCGCACGCGCATCGGTAGCAAAAGGCGAATTTTATTTCAAAATTTTAAGAGAATTTTACAAAAAAAGGTTGAAGAGCATAAGCGGATGAGATGCTGCTGCTGCTGCTGCGTTCGCTGTCGGCGCAGCTGCAGACTGTCAGGCTATACTGTACATACGGTGGAATAGCAAAGCAGTGCTGAGTCTGCGCATGACATGCCTTTAGCCAGGCCGTGGCTGAGCCCTGAACCAGGCCGACGGCTGAGCCCTGAATCAGGCCGTGGCTGCGCCACTCATTCGTTCGTCCTTCGAAGCAACCGAGGAGCGGCTTTGAGCCTGAGGCTGAGCCGCGTTCAAGAAGCCGAGCCGGGGCCGGGTAGCGGCTAAGGAAGAACGGCGCTCAAGGCCGAGTTGTCACGGGCCCCCTGGACGTCGACAGCGTGAACGGATCGTCGGGCTGACCCGAGCCAGCCGCTCAATCGGGAGCATCGCCTGCGAACGGCCGACCCCCCCCCTCCCCCGCTGATGAAAATCGTTGGATTGAGATGGTTCTCTTAGCTCGCTCGCGCGCTCTCTGATGCGAAAGGATCGTCGGCGTCTGTTGATCCCGCAGAGCAAGTTTGTACCTTGACGTGATTTTCATGTAAACCGACAACGTATACTGCGCTGCGTCAACAACACCGCTCGCGTCTTTCTTGTCCGTGTTTGTTCGCAGCCACCACCAGCACCGGTTGTGTGTGTGTGTCATATGTTGAACTTCTTTCGCACCGTACGTAGCCAACGGTGCCAATCGGGGGGTGTGCGGGCAATGATTCCGCGAGCGAAGTGTTGTTTCGTGCACCCTCCTCCACCCAACGCATCGTCCCCGCGTCAGCGGTACCACCGATAAATCTGGAGAGCCATCCACACACGTTTAACAGCTTGGATGCGACCCTTCAGCTGGTCCCTGTCCTATTCATAGGTTGGGGAGATGTTAACTTCCTCGCGGGGTTTTGCAGGCGGTCGTGGGTTCGATCTCAACGCTAACGACGCCTGTTGTATATTTGGAGTTTGCGTGTCTCTTGTCTCCCCGTGGTCGAATGGATTTTTTGTCCGGGTCCTCAGGTTTCCCCCCCCGCCACGCGTCTAGAGCAGGGATCCGTGGCCTGTTAGGAACCGGGCCGCACAGCAGGAGGTGAGCGGTGGGCGAGCGAGCGATGCTTCGTCATCTGTATTGACAGCCGCTCCCCATCGCTCGCATTACCGTCTTAGCTCCGCCTCCTGTCAGGTCAGCGGCGGCATTAGATTCTCATGGGAGCGCGAACCCTCCTGTGAACTGCGAGGGATCTAGGTTGCGCGCTCCTTATGAGAAGTCGGAATCCGACACTTATTTTAGTCCGCGCGTGGCCCGCCCCCATTATTTTATTTACCACTTCCGTCCGCGCCTCTTTTCCCGCACTGCGCAACTTGTCTCAGTCAGAGTGTTGGTATAAAGCCCACAAGCTCTAACCCCCTAGTAGCCACAGTGAGTAACGAACAAACGTCACTGGAGAGCTTCTTTGAAAAGGGGGAAAGACCCAATGATGAACCCCCCCCCGTCTGGTCCGTGAAAAAAGTTGTCTTCCACGAAACCGGTCCCTGGTGCCAAAAAGGTTGGGGACCGCTGGTTTAAGAGTATTTGGCTGCTACGATACATTTACACGTGAGAAGCCACTTTGTTGAGCTATCATTTGTTAAAGCCAGGACGCTTCTGAAAAAGAGTTACATAGAGTGCCGAGAAAAAGTTTGTGAACCCCTTTGGCTTTTCTCGACAAATGTCTTTCGACATTTATTCATCCTCAAATGTATTCTTTATTCAGTAACAACGATGGGTGACAAAGTACGTGACCTGCTGGAATCCATACGCTTTGGTTCTTTCGGTAAAGTCACGTAGGGTAGAAATGCAATGAAATGAAACGAATCACGACGTTTCGACCGCAACACGAGCAACCTTCACCAGGTGGAACAACCACAGCAAGAAAAATGGTGAAGTAGGCGAGAGAGCCGCCGTGGCAAGGGGTTATATAGGTAAGAAAGGGGGGAGGGGCAAGGGAGGAGAGAGAGAAGGGGGGGGGGGGAAGGGTGGGGGAGGCTACGTGAGCGCTAGTGGGAGAAGTGAGGCTGAGGGGGAAGTAGGCGGAGCTAGAAGTGGGAAGCTGAGTGTGGGACATTGGGGGGAAAGTAACTCGGAAAAATCTACTAGTGCCCGGCGGGTATGATGGAAACAACCACAACCGGTTAAGGCTTTACCTGGTTAATAACATCCTTCCAATGGTTCTTTCGGTAAAGTCACGTTGAAGGGAAACAATAAAATAATATATTTTATTATTTCATAATATATTTTATTATTTCATTGTTTCCCTTCAACGTGACTTTACCGAAAGAACCAAGAATATGAATCACTGAAGTCACGAAAGCTTTAAATCAAAATTTAAATCCTTCCAATGATTGCTCAATTTGTATCCATCTTCTCGGTTGAAGTTATGTCTATGTTTATATATCTGGATGGCTTCATGAACAAACCTTTGATAGTAGCCCGAAGGTTTGCAGAGTACCTTGGTCTCGGAAAAAATAATATCAAGCGAGCTCACAGCGTTACAACAATGGTCAGCCACGGCAGAGGTATTGGTTCAGCCGTGTTTCAGATCTGCCTTGTGTTCGTGAACACGGTCTGAGAGCCATCAGCAAAGACGATCGCTCTGAACTCGCCAAATTGAAAGAGAGAGAGAGAGGACATAGTCATCCTCTCAGCCGACAAGGGTAATGCTACTGCTGTGGTTGTTCCACCTGATGAAAATTGCTTGTGTTGCGATCGAAACGTCGTGATTTGTTTGATTTTATTTCTACCTACGTGACTTTACCGAAAGAGCCAAAGAGTATGGATTCCTGCAGTCACGAAAGCTTCAAATCGTTTAGATTCACTAACCGGTGACACCCCCTTGAGCAGCAATGAGTGCAGCTAAGTGTTCCCTGTAACCCGCTGGCGAGTCTCTCGCATCGGATTTGAGGAATTTTCGGCGCATTCCTCCTTAACAGAACTTCAACTCGGCGACATTTGTTGGTTGCCATGCATGCATGGGCTGAACACTTCAGGTCCTGCCACAACATTTCGATGGGGGTTTAGGTCCGGAATTTTACTAGGCCCATTGTAAAACATGGACTTTCTTATTCTTAGCTCTTTCGGTAAAGTCACCACGTTGAAGGGAAACA